AGCTTCCCCCCTTACCCCCCCCCCCATGCAGATTCGCTGAGCACCCCGCTCACCCGTAGCTGGGTTGCGCTGGCAACCACAGCGTGGGGTGTGCGCCGAAGCCTGGGCCACGCCACGTGGCGCGGGCGCCGCGCCGAGAGGGCGCGGGCGCCACGGGAGGCCTCGATGCTGGTCGCAGCACGACCCAGCAACGGGCGAAAAACGGAGTGGGCACGGGCGGGTCAAATCCCGAGCGCGGGCCGCGCGCCCCAAGCGCACACATTCAGAAGTGCCTGCGCGCAGCCGCGGCGGGCATCGGCCGCGCGCGGGGGGCGCGCGGGCCCGTCCACTTCGCCTGCGGCGCGCCGCGGCGCGCGCAAGTCAAGCGGCGGCGCGGCGACTGCTCGCGCCTGCGTCCGCCGCGCGTGTCTTGGGCCAGCGAATGCGCGCGCTGGAACCAAGGGCCGAGTTCGTTCCATGCACGCAAATTCGCTGAGCACCCCGCTCACCTGTAGCTGGGTTGCGCTGGCAACCGCAGCGTTGGGCGCGCGCCGAAGCCTGCGCCACGCCACGTGGCGCGGGCGCCGCGCCGAGAGGGCGCGGGCGCCACGGGGGGCCTCGGTGCTGCGACCCAATGAAACGATGCGACCAGCGCCGTGCGCCGCCTACCCGTAGCGCACGCGGCGCGCGGCGCTCGTGCGCGCGCCGGGATTTAGCAGCCGCGCTAAGAGTCTGAGCTGCTGTCAGAATTGTCCGAGCTGTCAGTCGCGGCGTTGCGCGCGGCCGCCACCCTCTCGCTCTCGACCCGAACGACGTCGATGTAGGCGAGGTAGGCGTCGGACGCCCAGCCTGCACGTTCCTTTGTTACTGCGGTCGGTGCACCCGCGCGATCGATGTCATCGGCGTGCCCCCTTGTCCGCGCGAGACGGGGATGGGGATGAGCGCGCCGCGCCGCGCGGGCGGTCGCGGGTCGCGACATTCGTCTGTCGCGAGCGCCGAATAGGTCGGCACCGCCCACCCCTATTCTGGACAATAGGGGCCGAAGGATACGCCTGGCATCCGACCCTGAGAATTGCGCGAACGGCTGAGCGCCTACGGCTGTACCGCACAGCAACGGAGGCAGCGCGTGCACGGCGCGCGTCGCGGCGTGCGCGCGGCACCAGCACCGCCAGCGGAGTAGCGACGCGCGCGGCTTGTTTTTCTGCCTTGGCAACCAGGGGAGTGCCTCGTCTGCCGAGGTGGCCAACTCCGCCGGGCGCGCTCGGCGCGCGCGCGGGTGCCCTTGTGCGCGCGCGCTGCCAGGCGGCGCAGCCCGCCGCGCGGCCGCGCGACAGCGAGTTGCCGCACCGCCGGATGGGTAAATGCTCGGATAGTAGGCGGAGCAGAAAGATGTACGGAATCAGAAACATGCTGGATGCCACCTGCGCGACCGCTGGGTTGGCTGGCGAGTGCCGCGCGGCGGCTTCGCCTTTTCTTCTTCTTCGCCGCGACCAGGTAAGCCGAGTAATTGCGCAATCGCAGCGGCGCGAACGAAGCGCGGTTCGCGCGGCGCGTGTCCGCCGCGCCGCACAATGGCTGCCTTGGCCTTCCTGGGCGCGCGACGCGCAGGCTCGCGCGTGCGGTGTCGCGGGAGGCCGACACCGAAGCAGCCGTCTGTTGCCGAAGGCGCTCGTGTCCAGGCGTAACACTTCGCGCGCTGTCTGCACGTGCCCACAATAATTCCGGAACGTGCCCGCGCAAGAAAAAATGCCCGACCAGCACATTAGATCGTCCGGGGCACGCGCCGCAGACTTACGAGTCTGCGGGCGTCTCAGAGGGGGTCGCGCGGATTGGTCGCGCCTCGCTGGGCGGCAGCGCGAGATGCCGTTCTCGTCCGAGTACGTCCATGGCGAAAGTGAGTCAGCACCGTACTCCGCACTTCAATGACTGGCGGGTGGATGGCATAGTGCTGACCAAGACTTCCAGTCGGGCCCGTTCCGCCCATTCGCACCGCTCCCCCTGCGAGGGCATGGGGCACCTAAGCCTCTGCGCGTTGCGACGCGGCCCCCCTGGCACGGGTGGCGAGTGCGGTCCTGGCCGCGCCAACGCCGTTTCGAGTGCAAGCGCTGGAGCTGGCAAGCGCTCTGGAGATCGGCTCCGCGCTTCCCCGCAGCGCGCAGAAGAGGGCCCCGCGGCGCACATGCGATCGAGCTCCGCCAGGAGGGGTGCTGACAGGAGCTCCATGTCCGCGATGTCCCGCAGCTGAGCCCCGACGAGATCCTGGTGGGTCTCGAACCCTTGCTCCGCCAGCACACTGGCCGCACGCGCGATATCGGGAACAGCACCTGCGCGCCGCTGGGCGCGCGCGCACGCGGCGGGCGCGCCAGCCGAGCAACCTTTCATTCCGCACTGGCGTAGGTCGCGGGCGAGGCGAACCGATGCTACATTCCCTGCGCGGCGAAGACGCCGACCCGCGTCCGCGCGCGCCGCGCGCCAAGAAAAACGTTACGCGCCGCTTAATATGCCAGTCTCCGCGTCGCGC